GTTAGAATTATTAGCCCCTTTTATTTATTTTTTTAATATTTCCCAAATTATGTTTAACAGGGCAAAGAAATTTTCACAGTAGCTGCGTCCCAAATGGCACACTATACACTATGCACCCATGCACTATGTACTTATGCACTTACACACTCAACAGGATAGTACATGTATGTAGTGCTGTCCCAAATGGCACACTAATGTTTTTTTACTAAGCGGAAATTCAAACCGTTTCCCTGATGACGTTTGACTGTTGCCAAATCAGTGAAATAAACGACTGAATTATCAAGTAATACCTGCCGTGAGTATTGCCGCATTTACCATCCGGAGGCGCTATAATCACTCTCGTAGGAGAATTTTGCTTTCACTATCCAAAATAAATAAAGTTATTCAACATGTGCGTCCGATAGCTCCGCCCCTTCCGCTACGTAAGCAAACCTGCGGTCGTTGAGTGCGTGAAGTGTGCATCATTACACACTTCATTTTAGCGGCTGAATGAGTGCATCATCCGGGTAATTAAAGTGCACTTATTATTTTGAGAGTTTTCAATGTGAACACACTACTTACACTATTTATACTACAAAATGGCGTAAAATAGTGCATAAGTATGCGATTTGGGACGCAGCTACGTCTGATAATATTTTTGCTTCTGGAGAAAGTCGTATTTGTTTTATTTCAGCTAGAATAAAAGCAGTTTTTAATTTTTTAAACACCATTTTAAGGGCAATATTATTAGCCCCTTTAAGTATTTTTTATTTTTATTTTGCTAGTCTACAGAACAAACCATCATTATACAATAACTTTCCTAATTACCCTAACCTGCCTAGTTCACCTAATTAACCTAGTTAAGCCTTTAAATGTCACTTTAAGCTGTGTAGAAGTGTCTTGAAAAATATTTAGTCAAATATTATTTACTGTCATCATGGCAAAGATAAAATAAATCAGTTATTAGAGATGAGTTATTAAAACTATTATGATTAGAAATGTGTTGAAGACTGTCCTCTGACCTTTTCTCAGGTCACCATGATGAAGCTCTGGCTGTGGCGGAGCGTGGACGCACTCGGGCCTTTGCTGACCTGCTGGTGGAGAGACAGACGGGTCAGCAGGACTCAGACCCTTACACACCTGTGACGGTGGAGCACATTCTGGACACTGTGAACGGGCAGCGGGCTCTGGTGCTCTACTTCTCCTTGGCGGCTGGATATCTGTACAGCTGGCTCCTGGCTCCGGGATCCGGTAAGATACTGAACAAGCAGATTCAAACATAACAAGGCTTGATTAGTGCCCATATGTCCTTGCACAGGTTGAAATACTAACCCCAAATCACTTGTATTTCCCCAAACGACTTCTATTTCATTGCAGACAATACAACTAACATTATTTAATGTGTTCCTCGTGATTGTAATAGTTTTCTTTTTGTAAATAAACACGTATTCCAGTTTTGCTTATTGCAATTATTAGTCCTTCTAAAATATTTGCCCCCTGGATATTATTCCCTCAGTTTCTGTTTAACAGAAAGATTATTATCTCCAGAAGAAATACTAAAATACTAGCCAACAAGAACTAAATGCCAGGACACACTAAGTCGAGCCCAAACAACTTGCACCAACGAAACCCAACTGCATTGTTGTCTCACGTTGGATCATGTTTGAACCAAAAAGTTATGTGTAAACACACACAATGGACGAAAGAGGTATAAACCGAGAGTCACGTTCTGCATCTGCAGGGGGCAGTACTCTGTTTTCTCCTTCCGCAATGGGGAACCACAAGGTGTAAACAAAGCCGCATTTAGTGCCATTATCACATTAATTGTTACTCAGCACAGAGGGATTAGTTCATGCAAATATGTCTGATAATCTAATAATCCATATCGCTTACAAATATTTGAGACAGGTAGCTTGAGTTGTTTACTTGCTATATCACTATGCTACATCACAGCTGCTTTTGAAAGCTGGATGTCAATAATTAATTGTCTGGTTTAGTTTTTTGTATTTCGTTTTTATTTTATTTATTTATTATTTATTTATTTATTTATTATTTATTTATATATTTTTTATTTATATTATAATTTTTTTTAATTAATTTATTTTTTATTTTATTATATATTTTTATTCAATTTATTTATGTATTTACTTATTTATTATTTAATTTAACATTTTTAATTTTTTATTTATTTATTATTTTTAATTTATTTAATTTTTTTATTTTATTTTATTGTCCACCCTGAGTGGAAATTTGTTTTTGGCTCAACCAACACAACAAATTAATAGTGACATTTGTTCGTCCGGTGATTTCCAAAAATCAAATAAATTTTGTCAAACTATTAGTAGTACCATATTTTACCCATATCCTACAAAAATGTGTAAACTATATTTTTTAAAATAATATTGATTTATTTTTTCCACTGGATTTTTTTATTTGTTTATTAATTATTTTGTTTAATTTAATTTAATTTAATTTAATTTAATTTAATTTTGAAATTAGGTGGAGTGGAAAATTGTCTTTGGCTTAGTCAACACAACAAATTAATAGTGACATGACAGAATAAAAAAACAACAATCAAAATTGCAAAACATAAATAAATAAATAAATAAATAAATAAATAAATAATTAGGACTAGCTTTTTTTGAACACACCACAATATGACATTATGATTTCATAAAAACACACATTTGTGAGCATCATGGGATTAATGTAACCAAATAAAAATGAAACACACATAATCATAATAAATTTGCTATGGGTGATTTGTCATCTCAATTGAGATATATTTTAACTAACTATTGATTAAAACTGTAGCGCTTCTGTGTAATAAAACATGAACAAAACAAGTCAAAACAACTTAGTAAATCAATAACAAACTGATTTTTAAAAAGCCTAATTATTTAAAACCTTTGAAGGGTGCTGTAAAAACTCATGTGTTAGAGTAGTGTGCAATGTTTACTACAGACTGACTGAAGTGACGGAGTGATGTGATGTGGGTGGAGGGGTGATAGAGGTGTCAGACGGGCACAGTGTATATCTGAACAGTTCATCAGAGCTCGATCCGGAGACATGCTGAGACACTGTCTGTCTGTTTGAACACAGACCAACACCACACTTAAGCCCTCCTATTTACACTAACAGATCAATAACACTTAGGCCATGCACACACACATAGACACACACGTTTGTTTTTGTGAATTGTGGGGACATTTCATAGTTTTAAATTGTTTTTAAACGGTACAAACTGTATTTTCTATTGCCTATCCCTAAATTTAAAAAAATGTTAAAAAATGTTATGTTGTGTATGTATATACATACATACATACACACACACACACATATATATATATATATATATATATATATATATATATATATATATATATATTTATACACACACATACATACATACATACATATATATATATATATATACATA